TTAACAACCAACCCTATAGAATAGCTATAAAATAATCATATTCTGACCTATAATTACTTCTACTCAATACAATTTAGAATGATTTAAAATATAACCCTCCCCAACTATCATTATAATAATTATTAGATTTAATAATAATCAACAGTGAATAATTAATGAATGAATACCAGCTGCACTAAGTAATGTGTTGGTTTGACCAGAAGTTGCCATCTTAAAGTCAGGAGTTGAATGACCAAAATCAGACGTTTATGCTTAGGCTCTGAGCGGCACTTTCAGCAACATTTTAAAATATTTGAAAAATAAAATTAATATTATTATTTGACCCCTGGCATTGCTTCCCACACCTTTTAAGGGCTTCATTGTGAGCCAGCATCTGCAAACTGGAAACTATAAGTACAAACCATAAAAATAGGAAAATCAGTTGGAGAAAGGATTCCATGTTGTGAACTCGGATTACTCATCAACTCAATCAATATTTCCCATTTTGCCAAAGTAGATTCTGCAACAAGGTTAAGTACGAACTTTACCCTTCTTTTCAAAGGTTTTATTAAACACACTTCAATGTGTATAAGTGAACTTTTCCTTTCTTCTCAAGGGTTTTATTAAACACACCTCAATGTGCTTAAGTGAACTTTTCCCTTTTTCTCAAGGATTTTATTAAATACATGATGTAGAAAACATGCAAACAAATTGTTATTTATTATTGAAAAATATTCATCTTGTGTTTCGTTTAACACTCGCTTGTTTAATTTTAATGAATTTCATAACCACAAGTATGTTACATTTTTTTCAATGTACGTAGGCTCAAGAGTGTCTTATTCCAGAGAGACCCCTTGTAATCCCAGCTACCTAAATTAAATTGTGCAGCAACAACATACCACATCAAATGAGTAAAAAAGTTAACAACCAAACCTATAGAATATCTATAAAATAATCATATTCTGACCTATAATTATTTCTACTCAATAGCCTTTAGAATGATTTAAAATTTAACCATTCCCAGCTATCTAATAACCATTAAGATAGCACAATAAACCTGGAAATACCTGACCTTGTTACCCATAATGCCACATTGACTATATATATATAGTCAAGCTACCACCCAACAGACATGGCCTTGGTGTTGATCTCAGTGTCTACTCTCATATATCTTATATACAAAGTGCTCAACCACTTTAATGTGTTGGAGCTAATATATTGCCATACAATTTTATTAATCTTTTTTATCTTTATAAAGATAAAAAAAAAACAATATATATTCCTTTTGAGGTAAACATTGAAAGGATTCATCAGGTAAGTTGAAAAGGTACAAAGATCTGTGAGAGTAATGTGTAAGATGTGATTGGATAACTAATATATTCCCTATAAAAGCCAGATACCAAGGTTTTGTTGCTAACTCAATTCATTTGACTAAACTAAGATTGTCAACAAAAGAAATGAGGAAATACATTAAGAAGTTTCAAGATCCGACTGAAACAGTATCTGTGTGAATCTGATATGAATGATGGAAAACCAATAAAGCTTGCTAATATTGTTAGGTATTGTTGGGGTGCTTACAGTTTGTTTTTCAGCTCCTGCTGGTGACAGGTTTATCTTTATATAAAGAAAGGGGCACTGCTGCTGCTTTCATAATACTAATTGTATGTTGTCTACATATACATATATATCCAAACAAGAAATAATGCTTGTGCTCTTGATTTTTGTAAATTTTGATGATGGTTCCACTAAATCTCTACCACATGGATGTAACTGTGAATCACACCATAAGACAAAAAGAAAGAATAATAATCTAATCTCAACATTCTGTTTTAGTTTCTGAAAGTCCTTAGTTAAGGGCATCAAACATATACCAAGCCTTTTCCCAGTTTTGTTCACACAGACAAAAGTGGGAATTAAAACATTGTGTGGGATTGATTGACTGATTATTTTTTTTACAGCTTATCAACCTTTTACAGGTTATTTAAAGCCAGAAAATATTTCTGGATTGTGAGACTTTTGGGGAGATAATAATGATTTATTGATATAAACCTTGCTAATTAAACCATAGCTGGTAAATTCATAACCTATCCCAAAGGTATTTGCATGTAAGCAAGTATAACAGATCTAACTGGAATTTGAACTTGGCTCTCCAATTATTAATTTGGGCTATTATCCATTACACCACTCAAATATCCAAGCTTATAGAACCTGGTATTCCCAAGCAGTCAACCATCGAGGTACTGACCAGTTTTGATGTTGCTTAACTTTGTTGATCATACAAGAACCAGTGTTTCAACGTGATATGGCCATAAGCCATACATAAATTTTATATATATATATATATGGGCATTGAAGTCAGTATGCAAAGGCAACAGTCTGTTTCATGTTAAACACAATCATCAGGCCACGATGATTCCCAAGCAATCTAAGGGTTCTGAAGTCAGGGATTCAACCAACTGTGGATTGAAAATATTCAAAAAATTCCAGAAATTTCCAAAAAGTAAAACTCAAATTTTTCATGCACTGATCATTACATTAATTCCACATTAACAAAAGAATATGTCAGGATACCCTGCTGTAGACTTTCAACACTTCACAAGCTCTCAGCCGTTCTCAACTGCTCATTGTTTGAGCTTTGTTCACTTTCTATCTGTTTGCTATTTATATTGTGTACATACTGTGATTTTCTTTTCTAAAAAAATATTGAATGGAAATTTCTTTAAAACAAAAGAAAATAAGCGAAGTTGGTAGCATATATACTTGGTTCCAAAGGATTATCTTTCTACTAGTGACTTCAAATGAACTGAAACTAAATGCCTACCAATTTTACTGAAAAGCTTACACCCAATGATACAGCTGAAAGTTTCACAAACTTCTCTCTCTCATATATATATATATATATATATATATATAAGTAACTATTGAAGTCAAAACTCAGAGTGACAGACTGTTTCATGCTAAATGCAATCGTCAGGCCATGAAACAGTCTGTCGCCTCTGAGTGTTGACTTCAATGTTCACTTTATATTTACATACGCTCTCTCTCTTCCCATAAATATAGCATACCTTATGACTATATTTGATATATATATATATATATATATATATGTATATATATATATATATTTTTTTTTAAGACATTTTTATGTTTATACATTCTTTTATAGATACAAATATTTAATTAAATGCTCTGTAAACAGTATTAATAACATTTACTGGCCTGAATGTCCAGAAGAAATTTTAATAGAAAATATTTGTCCTCCGACAGGAATCGAACCTGTATCCTATACAAAACCGACATATAGCTTGACATGCCTTAACTGATTGAGCCACAGAGGATCGTTCGCTTAGCAAGGTTGATTTTCAAAGATTATGAAAATTTACTTAAATATTTGTATCTATAAAAAGAATGTATAAACATAAAAATGTCTTAAAAATAATTGTCAGACTTTGTCCATTTCATAATGTGTGACGTCATTTGTGTTATATTTGGATACGATTTGAGCAGATATGAATGTACGTGAGAGATTCATGGAAGATTGTAGTTTAAAAGCAGTAAAATTGACTTTGCTAACTGAACGACCCTCTGTGGCTCAATCCGTTAAGGCACGTCAGGCTATATGATGGTTCTGTATAGGATACAGGTTCGATTCCTGTCATAGGACAAATATTTTCTATAAAAATTTCTCGAACATTCAGGCCGGTAAATGTTATTAATACTGTTTATTATAAACAGAGCATTTACTTAAATATTTGTATCTATAAAAAGAATGTATAAACATTAAAATGTCTTAAAAATAATTCTCGGACTTTGTCCATTTCATAATATATATATATATATGTGTGTGTGTGTGTGAAGAGTGTGTGTATATAAATATATATATATATATATATGTGTGTGTGAAAAGTGTGTGTATATAAATATATATATATATGTGTGTGTGTGTGTGTGTGTGTGTGTGCAAGATATAATATATATCATTATTTATATATTGTATGCACGGTACTTATTAGAAAGCACTCAATATCAGAGATAGAGCTAATATATTTAGTTGGATTGATGTGAGTTTGTGACCCTGGGTTTCATGCTTTTGTGATCGTCAGACAAACTGATCACAAAAGTGTGAAACCCAGGGTCACAAAAACACATCAATCCAACTAAATATATCTATATATATGTGTGTGTGTGTGTGTGTGTGTGTATGTAAATCCACTCTCTTATTCACACATATACATAGAGACACTTTATTTAAATTCAAGCATCTTAAAAGAACATTCATTTCCCTCAAATCTTTTTCTTTATTTAACGAACTTAAAATTCCACCAACTCAGACCAAACTTCTTAACTTTCCATTCTTGATAGTGTCCAAAAGCATTTTCATGTCCTTGTGGGTGACAAATTATTTCCCACCCTACAAAACCTTGCAAGCCTCTTCCTGACTCTTGCCAATGGGTGTTAACTTCAATGTACACTTTTATATTTACATCCGCTCTATCCCTGATATTGTGCATTTTAACCCAAAAATATAGCATACTTGAAAACTATATTTTTTATATATATATATATATATATATATATATATATATATATATATATATATAGATAGATAGATTCAAGCACCCTACGAGGCTGGCATCCCGCTCTCACCTTTCACTGTAGAAACTTTTAAATGTAGCCATCTCTTCTACTCCAATAGCTTCATATCTCGCACCTCTCGCCTGTGGAACACCCTTCCCTATTACTGTTTCCCTGAGAGCCATAATCTCCAACTATTCAAATGTAATGTCAATCGACATCTCCAGTTACCTTGATCTATCCACTATCCTTCTCCTCATCCTTTCTTCTATCACTCCTATCTGCTCTCGCTCCAAATCTTCTGCAACCCTCTGCATCCTTGCTCGGCACGTAATGCTTAAAAAAAAAAAAAAAAAAAAAAGAAAAAAAAAAAGAATAAGAAAAAGATAGATATAAAGAGAATGTATTACCTTTCATGTATTATATCTATCAATTTATTTTTACAGAATGGAGACCACGACGAACCATTATATTTGCATTGTGGGATGCAACTAAATATGGCCATATTGGAGCCTATGAGTGGGTGCAGGTAGGTTCTATATTCTTGTTCATATCTCCAGAAGAAGTACTGAATTTAATCTCTTTGCAAAATCATTGAAAATATTTACTTGCTTTTCATCTCTACGGACAATTATTGCTCTCCACAACTTCCAGCAACACTTTCTGTTTATGACTCTTCTGTTACTTTGTAGATCTTACCCCCTTCACCATTTTGCATAAACCAGTTTCTTACTGTTTTCATCCCTTCTCTTGCCTTTAATATTCCTTGTGAGTGTTAAAAACTCCCAACCTTCTTTTTATTGTATGTAGTGCATTCATTGATAGAATCACATATTAATTGCTTCAGCCAAAATTTGAACTTGATTTGTTGATTCTGCAACTTTACACCTCCATTTAGTACATAGGATGCAGGGAAAAGTGGGTTTATGCCTTTGCCAACAACATTAATGGTAAGTGGACATAGGCAGCCTAAGACAAAATTTGAACTCATTTTGTTGGTTCTTTTTGCCTTGTGATTCCTGTTATGTTACCTTTCAACTCCATCTAATACATATATAGAATACAGGGAGAAGTGGACTCATGCCTTTCCTAAGTCAACATAAATAGCCATAACCAAAACTTTTTTTACTAGTGCTTAAGAGCCATTCAAGGTAGAGACTTACTGAATGTGTTATGCAATAGGAATGCAAGAATAGGAAGTTAAGATTTTATAGACATGGAGGATAGGTAATGACTGACCCTTGACTTGAAGAGCTTAAGGCTGTAGTATTTCGGGAAGCATCCATGTGGGACTCTGCTTCACAAAGTGACTGTTTTTAATTTCTTTCCTAATTATTTATTCTGCTACTTTAAACCTCCATTTAGTACATATAAAAATTGCAGGAAGTAGTGGATTCATGCCTTTCCCAAGTGTAATTATACTATCAGGTCATCCCATAAGTTCTGTCTGAATTTTGAATAAAGGAAACAAGTGACCGAATGTTACATTTAATTACAGATTAAATATAGACAGACTCTGAAGGACCTGGAGATTGAAATTAAGAGAGTGTACCAATAGTAATTGGAGATCTGGGCCTTGTGAGAAAAGGAATGGACAATTTTACGAACAGTGTCTCAAAGGTTATCCAGAAGATTACCCTACTAAGAACATCCCATATACTAAGAAAAGTGCTATCAATTAAAGGACAATAGTTTGGACCCGACTCTACATGAAACAAAGCAGGAAACATAACATACACAAATAATAATAATAATAGCTCTTGGGCTGTCCCTGTAATTAAATGCAGTTCCAACATCCTTAACAGGACCATAGCTGACATTAAGCAAATGAATGTCAACCCAAAAAAGCATCTCACTTGCTACTGCATGCATAATCCTAAGGCTGATGTTGATTGTATGTGTCCAAATCTGGAGAAGGCAGAGGATTAGTTCAACTAGAACTGTCTTACAAAACTACAACAATCTGTGTTCAAAGACACCTACAAATTACAGAAGACTCGATGATGATCTGTGTCAAAGAGTATGAAAGAAATAATAATAATAGCTGGCCACTTGTATTCAAAGATACCTATCTACTAGGGCAGCTAGCCAATCCCTATTGCAGACTCTCGCTCAGGCACATTTGTGTTTGTTCGACACCTACAGAGCAAACCTGTGGTTTATACTGCAACTATGCTGAGCAGACCTTAGTTACAGTTTTTGGGAAAGAGCATGTTATCTAAAATGATCAACAATCTAAACCACGCCAGCACCCTCAGACCCTCGGTCATGATGACTTGTGAAAGAAATAAGAAACTGTATTCAGTAATAAAATAAGACAACAAATTCAAAATGGAATTTCAAGTGGATGAAGAAGTGCAGATAAACTATAATACACCTACAGCAGTGTCAAAGAAACTAAAAAAGGCAAAAGCCAATGAAATGGATCAGATACAGAAATGATGACAAGATAAACCTTTTCATGGTCAAAACTCTGCCTGTGCCAAACAATCTGATGTAAACAAACCCCATACCCATCAGTGGTTACACATTGTAGGGTTAAAAGCTGAAGGTATTATTCTTGCTGCACAGGACCAAGTAGAAATTAGAAATTACCAAGCAAATATACTGAAAATTAGTGTTAAAGTGAAATGCAGATTCTGTGATGAATATCCAAAAAGAAGTGACCATATTGTATCAGGCTGCATGGTATTAGCATCCACCAAATATAAAACTCAGCATGACAGGGTTGGCCAATATCTACACTGGAAAATGTGCAAATTTTACAGTAATGAAACAGACATAGGACCTGTAAAAATTTTATGGGACTTTACAATACACAGAGACAGAAGAATCAAAGCTAATTGCCCTGACATTGTGATCAAAGGCCACAAGAACAGAATGTGCTTTCTTATTGACATGGTAGTTTCTGCAGAATGTAATGTAACTTTGAAGATATTAAAAAAAGGCTATCAAAATACAAGGATCTTAAAGTAGAATTCTCAAAAATGTGCCACATGAGGACATCAATAATTCCAGTTATGGTTGGAACCCTGGGTTTGATTGGAAAATGTTCTGATAAACTCATTGAAGCAATTCCTGGCAGCCCATGCCTTAAAGAAATGCAAAAGATTGTTCTTATAAGTACAGCTCACACCTTATAAAGGTCTTTATCTATATAAAATGTGTGCAATCATAGATTAAAAAAATGTTCAGTGAAAATGCCATGATGCCATTTCTAACCTTATGTCCCTGGGCGGGACTCAGAAAGAAATGTGTACACACCAGAAATCAAAGGAAATAATAATAATAATAATAATAAGCAGCAGCAGTTCTATGATTGAATGTGGTCTTATGCTTACTGCACAGTTTATCACCTGACCAGCTCCCTTCATATATCTCAGTTGCATAGCAGTAGCTGAGTTTCTGTGAATGATCTTCCAGTCGCCATTTTACCCATCTGACTACTACTTTTGCCTTAGGTGTTACCATATTAATTCCTATGATGTGTCCATACCATTTCAACTTTCTCTTCTTGACAGTGGTTATGAGTTGTTACAGTGGGCTTATTTCTTATTTAATGGTGTTATCATTTATGATGTGGTCTATATAGGAGATGCTTAGGATAGTTCTATAGCATCATATTTCTAATATTTGTATTTATTGCTCTTATTCTGCTGTTAATATAAAGATTTGCAGGTGTAGAGAAAAATTGGGGAGGACAATGCATGCAATCGTCTGATTTTTGATTTCAGTCAGAAATCTTTGTCTTTTCTGATGGTTTTGTGACAGCTGCCATCTTTTATGTTAACTGTTGAAATTACTTCTATTCTGGATGCCCAACTCACTGATAATTAAGACAAGATATTTAAATTAGCACACTACTTGACTTCTGACTTTTATGTAAGGTGAAAGCCCTTTTGAAATACCAAACATTAATTATTATTCACTTTACCTTAGTTATTTACTTAGAAATAAATACTTATGTTGCATTGTATTTTCTAGTTTAATTTTTCCTTGTTAAAAAAAAAACATGCCGGTCTAGTTTTTTTGCAAACATCATTTTTCATTAATAAAAAATGTTCTTTCTTTGCTCTGTAAATAAGAAGGAAGCCATTTATTCCATTCACATGTAATGTTGCAAATGTTTTTTTATTATAAATATCAGTCAATCCAAAAGACTTTATTTCTTGTAAAATGAATTAAAAATTATGCTTTCAAGTCAATAAAGTTTGTGCTCATTTTCCGCAATATAAAGTTGTTAATGACAATGGATTTAATTAACATGAATGGAAACGGTTCTGATTTTTACAACTTTTCTTATCAGGTGGTTTTCGTTATCTGAAAGAAAATTGCTGATATAATAAAGAAAATGGATAAATTTTAACTGTATATTTTTTTTTTAAGTTTCATTATTAATTTTTAATTTTCTAATTTATTTATTCTATGTGTTCTGCCTCATACATGTCTATCTTGTCCGCGTATTTACCTAAAGACAGCCAGATAAACACCTTAAGGCAATTAAGCCACTGAAGTCCTGTTTATCAGCAGGTTTATTAAAAGCCAGAAGTGTAAAACTAGAAAAAGAAATAAATATACATATACAATAGCATGCAGAAGTGGGTAGCAGAGGGTGTGAGTGCTTTGGGCATCAATATCAGGAAGACATCCAATCAAAAAGTGAAATACAAATTTAGTCTATATTTAATTTGAATAAAGTGTTTATTTAATGTTTCATCTGTTTTTACACATTAAAAATGACTTCCTTTCTCACGTTTCTCAGTACTAGGCCCTATAGGCACCCCACCTACTTAAGTCCTAGGGGCATACAATCAAGGAGTTGGCCTTGGGCATTACCAAACATCACCAAACCTCTGCACATCATTGCATATATAAGACTAGTTTAATCTGAATATGTTACAGAATGAGAAGGCCAGGGCCAGAATGGTTAGTGATTGGCTGGAGTGCCTCATGGGGGTGATATTCTGACAGTGATGGATTGCCTTTGTCTGGGTTTTGGATGGCACAAATTTAACAGAGACCTGCAAGAATATGCCTCTCACACCCAGGTTAGTAACTGGAGAAGACCACCTGTGGAGAGAGATGCTGAGCCAATGTGTGACATGCGTTCCTGTGATGCCATTCCTCCCACTGACTCTTAGAATCCAAGTTGCCACCAGTTTCTTTGAATAAAATGATTAACAAAAAGAAATGGTCCTTTTCATTGATACCAGTTTATATAGCAGCACGGGGACCCAGAAAAGACACAGAATGCAACAAATAACAAACAAATGAAAAAAAAAGGAATATAACAAAATCATGTGGGGGCTTGAATATAGAAACGAGACCATTTGTTTAAATGGGTAAAGGATGGTAGCAAATACTTTGCTTACATGAATATGTATAAAGGTTTGTTAGAGGAATATGTTGCAGTGTAAGTTCATGGAAAGGAAGAAAGCTACATGAAGGTTACATTTGGGAACAAACAGTGAACGCATGCAGAAAAGGATTCTACATAGAGAGATACAAACATAAAATAAACATATAAAA